GGGGTGGCACTGGGGGATCTCTAGAGGTTCCGACTCCAACAATTCTGTGACTTTGCACACATTTCCAGCAGCACAAGTGACACACAAGCCACAGGGCCCTGTGGGGAAGCGGAGGAGAGCGGCAACGTCCTTCACCGAGAAGGGGGGAGGCAGACATGCTCTGTCACGAAGGAGGTGCCAAGAGCAGACCCGCACTGCGGGAGCTGCCCCTGCATCGGATTTCATCCGCCTCCGAAAGGTTTCTGTGGGCAAAACCTTACCTGATTGGAGGACATGTTCTCAGCCTTCATTAACGACGAGTAGCTCCTGCAAGAGAAATCACAGTATCTCGCACGACGCGTTCTCAAAACCCGCCAGCGGAGAGGCACTTTGATAAAACACAACCAAGCACCAGAGAAACGATATTTTTTTCCCCCTCCTTTTCTGAACTCAGGCAGGCTAGACAAATATTTACTTATCTCGTAACTCTCTGGCTGATTAAAACAACCGGACAAAGCCCAGGCCCTACGCAGACTCCTCCGCTTTTTTTGTTCTGCAACTACCAGCTAGACTACCCCAGGAGGTAGAAAATCCTTTATTTTGGGCAACAGCCAAGGGGCAGCTCTGGGGCAAGGCTAAATAAGCAGGCAGGCCCCTCGCTCTGCAGCTGAGACGCGCCTGCTGGTGATTTCTCCTCGGCTTAGTTTGCTTCTCTAAGCCCTTCTCTGCGAGCTTTCTGCACGTTGAATCACTGAAGAAATCCTGGAGTTTTTCAAATTCTGGTTTCACTGTCATTTACAGATAAATCTGATTTACTAAAGCTTAAAATAGAGCTTTAGGGGCGAGCCAGTGCTGTAAGGGGCCAGAAGGACTAAGGAACAAGCTCAGTGTGGACAGGAAGGCCAAGAGGATGTTTCAACGCACCATCCCTCACTCTGAGGACACAACTGAGGATTCACACACGTTTTAGCTAACAAGAGGAAGCTGGAGAACTCCAAGGAAAGCTCAGGGCTTTCCCAGGCTTGAGCAAAGCTGGAAGGAATCGCTCAACGACGGAGGAAGCCGAGTGTCTGCCCAATTTCGGGACAGGTTGGGAAAGACACAGCTGTGTGTCTTTTCGCAACGGTTTTAACGTCCAGGTTTCATTTAGGAGAAATGGGAAAAAAACCCACGTTTGTTCTAAAGACAAAAGAAACCACCAGGCCGTGCAGGCGTCTGTGCCAGAGCAGGTCAGCTGAACACTGAGTAACGCCGGGGCCGGTTATTAAACAAAAACTGCTGACCCGTGACTCCCAGCACCGAGGAAAACTGCGGCAGTTACAATTGAGGACTTACCGCAGTTCTTCCAGCTCTTTCTTCTTCTTCATCTCTTCCTTTTCCTTCCGCTTCATCTCTTGGATCTGGGCTTTCTTCTCATTTCTCTCTTCCCTGTCGCGAGCTTCCTTCTCGGCAGCCAGGTCCGGGAAACGCTCCACTTTTGTCTTCTCTAGCCGGTTCAGGATCTCGTTCACCTTCTTCTCCACCGTCAGCATTTTCACCTTGGGAGTGCAAAGAACTGGGATCGGTATAAAAAAAATTACTTTTATTCTGGCACTTCCCTCGGCGGAAAGAAAACACCCCCTTTTCCATTTTACACACGGCTGAACGTTGCAAAAACAGACGCGAAGGAAAATCACCACCGCCGAGGTTGTGTAACAGCAACAGGAGGCCGAGCGCTCGGAAGCACACAGTTAATCAAGCCAGGCCTTGCTAAGTGCACAATTTTGTTTCTTGGCAAACGCCTCAACAAAGAGGCCAAGAGACAAGAACGGGGTCCCTGCCAGTTCCCGGTGAGGTGGCAGGAGGTCCCCGCAGAGCGTTTTTGGGAAGAGGTGCTCACGTGTTGTTTGTTGACTGTGGGGTGTGGGGGTTTTTTAGCATTTCTTGCCCTTGTACCGACCTGTTTTAGTCAAAAAAGCACCTCTGGAAAGAGTTCTCTCCCAGCAATTAAGCTACATAACTGCAACTTCAACGTAACGTTATCTGTGGACCGTAGGTCAGGCTTGGGAAGAGCTTTGTACTTGATCCTCCACCAAGGTGAAGCAGCTCTGCCTCTGAGTAGGTTTAACAAATTTAGAGGGTCTCTCTTATGCTTCAAGTGGATGATCCCTTGCCTCTAGGGCCAATTCTAAAGGTGATCCACCCTCCTAACAGGAAAACGTTGGAAATCTGCCCAAAGGTCACCGGTCTGTGGCAAACACTTACATCCTTCTGCCTGTGAAAGCCGATCTGCCCCACGTCCATGTCGGCAGTCTTCTTCAGGTTGGTCCACGGCGTGTACACGACGTTGACATTGTTCATTTTGCAACCTAGGAAACGGGGGAAGAAGAAGGGAAATGTTTTAAGACAGAAAGAGATCTTAAAAGCCTTCCGCGCAGCTGGAAACGCTGGCAGTTCTCCTCGGCACAAGCACTACTAGCTCGGCACGAAAGGAGAAAAGGGAGAAGTCCTTCCAGTGTTACAGCGAAACAGAAGAACACCACGACGTGGTTTTCCCCGGTAACACGAGCGCTGCAGCGGTGTTAAGCAGCTCCAGATGGAGACCGCCTCTGCCAGGACTGCTACGGAAGGGAGGGCCCCAAGGTGGTGGTAGAGGAGAGGCTGCAAGGCCTCCTTGGCAAAAAACAGCGACGCGGAGGCACAAACGGGAATCTTGGAGGTTTAAAATTCTTCCTCGCGGGAAGCCCCAGTGTCTGCTTCCCGTAAAACCCACAGGCTTGAACGTCACAAACATCCACCTGAAAAAAACCCCTTCTTGTCCACCAGCACTCCCAAGTCCTTTTCTTGAGAGC